ACCCTGTACCCTGTATTAACTAATATTAACACTATGGTACTATGGTAATAGAGGTTGTAATTTGTTATTTATATTAAGAAACTTTCTGTCACGTTATAATTATGATTTGGCAAGGTTTCCAGATTTAATTTAGAATTCTGAAGCAATCACGCAGTAGGTACAATCAGGAAGGAAGCATCTTATCGTGAATTTTGGACAGCTTACAAGCACTGTATGAATTATAGTTTTCTTCCTTTTTTGTTTTCCTAGGCGTTCCATTAGATTTATTTACGAACGCGAAGAGCAGTTGCTTCTGGCGCACACTTTCATTCGCTCTAAAATGTGAAAATAGATCGGGGTCTCGCGTTTTGAACTTGGATCGAAACGGAACAGGTTCAGGATCAACGACACCGGAGACTGGATACACTTGAATTTTGCCAGAAATTTTAAAGTAGCGTTTACAATAATTATACTGCTAGGGATTTAGTGGACTGATTTACAATCTAAATATTATATAAGAATTGAACAAATGAATTATTGAAGCGTTAAGAATAAATAATTCTGTTTCCCATTTTCAAACAGCAACTTAACATGTTGTGAATCAATTTTTAACTTCCTTGCTAAGAAAGTAGTTCTATAAATTTAGAGTACCTAGTAGTATTTTTTAGTAGCTAGTAGCATGGGAGACGCCAGGGACGGACGTTTGCTACCAGCCAAAAACTATACAGGATGGTCCGAACTGTATTCCGGAAACTTCGGCAGCATATTCTGCAGATAAAAATAAGTAAAAAAGTTCGTATAAATGTATATCCTAAAATGCTTAGTTTCGGAGATACAGGGTGTAGAAGTTTCATTTTTATTTCGATTTTTTCCAAATAATTTCTGAAGTAAAGTCAAAATTTGAATAAAAATTGGTGTCTGGGAGTTTTTTGACATGAGAAATTTGATTTTGATGTCAATATGGCTCCTACTAGTAGAGGGCGCCAACTACATATTTTTTAACCGGTTTGAAAAGTAATAACTTTTCGTCCGTACCTGTATAAAACTACTGAGTAAAAAAATATACATTTACGACGTTTTTTACGTAAAAAGGTCTCTTGTTAAACATCGCTACGAGTAATGGTTTTCGAGATATTTGGAATCGAAATTATTAATACCTGTCATCATTGACATTAATAAATTAAACATGTTGACTAAATAGTTATTAAACTGAAATCATAAATTTGAAATATTTTTGTGCCAAAAATTCAACAGAACCTGTTTTATAATAATTTTTTGCAGAAAAATTTATGATTAGTTTAAAAAAAATAAAATTTTCAAATTTATTATTTCAGTGAAATTTCAACCAAACCAAACTATCTACTCAACGCGTTTATTTTTCGTCAATAATGATATGTATTCACTATTTCCATTCTGAACATCTTAAAAATGGTTGCTCGTAGCGATTTTTACAAAGAGATATTTTTTACGTAAAAAGTCACAGAGATGTATATTTTTTCGCTCGGTAGTTTTATACAAGTACGGACAAAAAGTTATTACGCTTCAAAACAGTATAAAACACATATAGGTGGCGCCCTCTACTAGTAGGAGTCGTATTGACATCAAAATCAAATTTCTCATAACAAAAAACTCCCAGACACCAATTTTCATACAAATATTGACGTTACTTCAGAAATTATTTGGAAAAAATAGAAATAAAAATGAAACTTCTACACCCTGTATCTCTGAAACTAAGCATTTTAGGACCTACATTTATACGAACTTTTTTATTCGTTTTTATCTGCAGAATATGCTGCCGAAGTTTCCGGAATACAATTCGGACTTAGCTTAGGGCATAATTATAGGGCATTTATAAGATAAGTGCTGATACTCTACTTGTCTCTACTTAATCATTTTGAACAGGAAGAGATTGCAGCGAACCCTTTAACTGCGTAAGAGGTGTAAAAATTGATATTGTTGCTTCAGCGTGTTTCAGCTGCGCTCAGTGTCAGTTTACGGACTGTTAGTAGAATCTCAGAAAAAGTTAAGGCTAATGTTAACCAAGTAGAACTTTACCTTTTTGAGCTTTCATTCAGAAAACTTGCTAATATCTTCATTTAATTAGAATTTGTTTGTGTAGTATTCATAGACAAAGTAATATTGTATATAGGGTGCTACAAATTCGAGGTACGAGCATTGGTATCTTGGAAACCGTAATAGATACGCAGATGGTTAAATTAGAGCAAAGTTGCGCCTTGGGATGTTTGTCAACATGCTATCAAAAAAGTTGGATGTTTGGTATCAACCAAAAACGAATATTAAGATACGTTCTTAGGGCATAATTATAGGGCATTTATAAGATAAGTGCTGATATTGCCTGACCAGAGTGTACAGTAACTATAATTTTAGAGTAACCGTGCTTATAGTACCAAAATACTGCAAAACCGATGCAAAATAGTATTTTATAGAATTTTACCATCTTATAAAACTCTTATAAAATTGTTCCTAAGTCGCAGAATCGAGTTTCTTTATAAACTATTGTGTAGTTGCTTGCTAACTTACAATTCTGTTGCGAGCAACAAATTACCAATGGAAGCTGCTATACTTGAGGTAAAGACTTCTTTAAAGCATGTATAGCTTTGTTTATATATATTATAAAATAGTTTACGAGAGTTAACAGTATAACAGATTTCTTAAACAACAAACTGCTGATGAATGTCGAATTCTAAATAAATATAAAGAATCTCAGAAGCTTGAAAGCAGAAACAGTACAAATCGCTAAAAATTGTCAGCCTATTTAGAATCATTGTTATAATAAGACATTTCATTTTATAAAATCAAATACCATTAACTGAATATCAGTTAACCTTATGGTTTAGTGATTCAGAAAATATTAAAAAAATATGACGCCTCTGTTCAAAAAGTTGTATATTGATATTTTTTACGTCACTATAAAGTCAATCAGGTAGTGACCACAGACTTATCAGAACCAGAATAGTCATTGACATTCGACTTGAAAGACTAAAATTGAGCAGGAAACCAAATACAACTAGAGTAAACACCAACACACTAAAAGAAAGATCCAGTGAATATATAGTAACAGCTGCTGGATAGCTGGCTGCCTGAATAAGAAACAAACACACAGCAGCTCATGGATACTGTTCTTAAGTGTGCGAAAGAAATAGGGGGCCCATAGCAGCGTGACAAAAATAATAAACTGACTGATGAGACAAAAGCACTAAAAAAAAGGGGAATGAAAACCGAGAGCAGCATAAACAGAATAGAATATACAGAAGAGATGTATGTAAGAGAAGAGGATTGTGTGAGTGATAAGAAAGAGGATTACTGCAGAGGACATCAAAAACTACAACGAAAAACTTCTACAAACTGCAATCAAACAAAGAAAAAGCTATAAGAACGCCAAGAAATCCCTCATGATCGGAAAGAAGCATGTAAAACACAACATCATAATAACAGACAAAAACGCAATAATAAGCCTGGTAATAAAATTCTACAGCGATCTATATAAAGCCCAAGAAAACACACATGAAGAAGAAAGACTGTCCCTACCACAATACGACGCCCAAGAAGTTCTAGTGGGAGAAGTAGAAAAGGCTCTTCAAGATATGAAAAATGGAAAAGCAGCAAGGAATGACGGAATAACAGCTGAAATACTTAAGTACGCCGCGTGAGAGAACCTGGAAAATCCTAGCAAGTATATAGCATCAGCTGGCTTAGTCAATCAACTAGACTGGACCAACAAAGGATTAAAAATAGATGGAGAATATCTTAACCATCTAAGACTACCTGATGACATAGTAATAATTGCCAATAATACTGAAGAACTACAAACACAAATTAATAAACTAAATACAGCCAGCAATAAAGTAAGTCTCAAAATGAATTAAGCAAAAACTAAAGTAATGTACAACGAACTAGTAGACAGAAAATAGTAATAAATAACACAAAACAGGAAACAGTAGAGTATATATATTTGGGACAACTAATACTCAGCTAGTAGTAGCAAAATGCTGAGAATACCATGGACTGACCGTGTCTCGAATGAACGAGTTCTAAACCAAATGAACAAGGACCGAGAACTCCTCGACATAATAAAAAAGAGGAAAGCAGCCTATTTGGGCCATATCATGAGACATAGCAAGTATGAATTCCTTCAGCTCATCATCGAGGGTAAAATTGAGGGAAAGCGCGGACCCGGACGACGGCAATGCTCCTGGCTGAAGAACATCAGAGATTGGACAGGCCTGGACTCACATACTTTGCTGAGAAGAGCGAAAAATAGAGAGGAATTTGCCATGGTTGTTGCCGATCTTCACTGAATGGAGAAGGCACTTTAAGAAGAAGAAGAATACTCAGCTCTGTACTTATGGAAGAAACTCAATTATATTCAAATTTACAATACCACTTTATCTAAAGAAGAAAACATTCGACCAATGTGTACTACCAGTCATGATCTACGAATCCGCCCTCAAGTGGCAACGGACGGCACACCTAGCAAGAAGGCCGGACAACAAAAATTATAGCATGGTACCCAAAAGGAATTAAGAGAACTAGAGGGAGGCCAAATCTGAGATAGGACCATGATATTAGTTATATTAGAAAATTAGCAGGGATAACTTGGTCCCGCAGAGCTAACAATACAGAGCAATGGACCCTACTACAAAGGGAATATCTAAATATGTGAGGAAGGCTACACCATAATTGGAAATGGTTGAATAAGCTGAGGATGATGATGATTATTTCAATTGCTCTATTACGCTACGTCAAATGAGGAGTTTATCTCTAATTCTTAATCTACTTGTGTTATAGTAAATGTTTATGGAACCTCGTTACCCTATAACCTCATTGCAATTGTTACTATAATTAACAATGAAAATATTTTCAGCAAACCAATCACAAATGTATTCGCTAGGAAAACTTTTCTGACGATATGAGATATTTTATATAAATAGATAAAATTATATTCAAAATTCTTGTTATAACGGCACTATTAGATCATGTTTAAAATAAGGACCACTCACCATTCTAGTCTCTATATCGATATCGATCCTCTCTCTCATTTTCCTCCTCTTAGCTCCCAAAACGGGAGTACACACGAAGAATTTCGATGATCTATGGCCGTCTCTCCTCCATCTGTCCAGTTGCCGCATGGCGTGCACAGGTGTTCGAGAAGCTGCTTCATATAAAGCTCTACAAATTAAAAGACAAAAAAAAATAATTAAGATATTCCAGGTACTTGTAAAAATGCAAAGTATAATCTCTGAAATGGTTGAACTAATTTTGATGGGACTTTCATTGATTTTATCAAAATGACAGGGATCTTCATTATCGTGAGTTATATTCTCTTATCAAAGCAAGAGAGTAGGTATAGATTCATATTTCCACACTATTTAAATACAACCTAATATAATTCGTTTTGAAACAGAATTTCTTAAACAAAAGTTAAAGTGCAAATGTAATATAATCGCCCTATCTATAATTTTAGAGCCATTTTTCCCTTTAGGAGTCTCTTTCCTTAAACACTATGAATAAACCCAATGAAATACGATCTTTTAAAGTCAGATTATGCTCCCTTTTATCTTCACTTTGTTGATATAAAAGCGCCAAAGCAAAAAATCTGGTGATATTAGAGATAACAGGTTTTACTTTTTAAAAGTGTAATATTTCCGTCCATTTATTTTTATAATTTTAAATCTTTAAAATTTATTATTGTCTTTCTGATCTAAAAATCAATTACTCTCATTAAATATGATATATCTAAAAGCGTGTGTGCATCGGTTAAAATACTAATAGTACGAGAGCTCTAGCAACGTGGAAAAAACCAGTATTTTAAGACGTCTGGCTCTTTGATATATCTTTTACTATGCTCTCTAGAACAGTATGCGGCCCGTCTGGCTGCCGGTAAACGTTGCGTTCCCTACTGCGCATTGAAAGAAGATCCTCTATTTTTATTAGTCCTTCAAATTCTAGTATTGAATATAAATCGAACATGTCTCCATAGCGCAGTGCGTAGAGTTTCCGACCACGAACCGATGATTCAGAGTTAGAATCCGGGTCAGGTCAAAGACTTTTTTTATTTTATTTTCATTTATATTCTGATAGTAAAGTATTAAATATTTGTTTTTTTAATTACCAGAATTATTTAATACTTTACTATCAGAATATAAACGAAAATAAAATAAAAAAGTCTTTGACCTGACCCGGATTCGAACTCTGAATCATCGGTTCGTGGTCGGAAACTCTACGCACTGCGCTATGGAGACATGTTCGATTTATATTCAATACTAGAATTTATAGGACTAAATTAATAAAAAATATAGGATCTTCTTCCGATGCGCAGTAGTAAACGCAACGGGTATCGGCAGCCAGACGGGCCGCATGCTATTCCAGAGAGCATAGTAAAAGATATATCAAAGAGCCAGACGTCCTAAAATACTTTCTCGAAAACGTTGCTAGCTCTTATACTATAATATTTCAACGATGTTTAACAAGGAACCAACCACAGACTCAAACAATAATTTTAAAAGTTTGAATAATAACCAAAACTACTACATAAAAAATATAATTTAATTATTGAAGTTTCAAATATCTTCAACTATCTGCTAAATAGTTAGCTATCACAGAGTGCTAGGCTTGATAATTTTTTCTAAAGGAAAGCTCTAAACTCGACATGCCACACAATATGAAATAAATGAATAACTAGGTAGGTAGGCAAATTTACATGCAAATGATCATATATCGACTGGCTGGATAAAAATAGGCTGTGGTGCGTATCACCGCAGTATAAAGCTGCGTCCACATTGCGCGCGAGCAGGCCGAACAAACACGAGAAATACGAAAAACAAGGGAAACAGTTGGAACGAGCTGTTCGCGGCGCTCGCGACGCGACGCTCGCGGTGCTCCGCGTGCTTGCGATCACATAAAATGCCTGTTTCGACTTTTCGGCTCTATCGCAGTACATCACAGAGACGCTTTGGACCCATGCGGGCATACTTTACGGCAGTTCGAAGCGCTCGAGCTGTTTGCGTTGTTTGTTTAGTTTTTAGCTCGGTTTTTAGTTTGGTTTCATTCATAGGATTCGGTATTTGCTGCAGTATGATGATACTACAATGATTTTTCTTATTTAATTGTTCAGAATTACAAATATTTGTATTTTGTTCTTGGATTAATAATATTAAATATACCATTAATAAAATATAACCCTATATTTATATTGTCTACTTATCTTAACCTGATCTTTGAGAACTTTATTTATATTTTGGCATACGCCTGGTATTATTTTTGAAATGCTTTGCTTGGAAACTTTGAATAAATAACCCAAACTGGTATGTGAGTCCCTAGTTGCAAAGAATCTTAATGTTATGGCCAATCTTTATTTAACTCTTTCTTTAACCGGAATACACTTTCTAAAAGTTGTATTTTTTCTTTCTATACGGGGGCCAACTAAGTTAATAAGTCTTTTAAAATCAGTAGCGGACATGCGATAAAAATATTAAAAAACATTCCGTCTGTTTGTAAATCGCGTAGATGTTTACCTTCACTGTGCGGGGATCTACTTTTGAAATTATTAGACATCCAACACCGCTTTTTTTCTCTTTGTCTCCTTCGTTTTACAATAATGATCGCACTAGCAACCGCTATTAAAAATACTTCGGTATCATCAATGTCCGAACAGCACGAACGCAAGCACTACATTACAATGTGGACACGCCGCCGCAGTTGCTTGCGAGCCGAAATATCTTGAGAAACACGACAAACAGGAAGCGCAAGCAACGCAAGGACAATCAGAAACAAGAGCGCGAGCAGGATCACGAGCAATGTGGACGCACTTTTAGGACCTAAGTTTGAAGTTCGTCGCAGTCGATTATATTCATTTCGATGGTAGCAACTTTCTATTTTTTTTTGGAAAATATTGCTGGCCCAACGTCAACAGATCTTCTGTCACGTGAAAAAAAACGGCGTTAAAGACGGCTGGGAAATGACAATCGATGAATAATTTTTAGTGAGGTAAATGTCTAGACGTCGCGTCGTCTAATTTGACATTAAACTTCTCAATTTTTGCAATTTATTGGAAATATAATCAGAATCATTAGTGACTATAGTAAATAATTAAAAATCGATATTTATTCAAATTTCGATTAATACAAGTTTTAAAGAGACTTTTCACGATTTTTCAGACCAATAAATTAATGATAAAAGATAATTTATAACCCATTTTGTTCGTAGTGAATAATAATAAGCCGCCCGGACAGAAACGGTGGAAGAAAAAGGCTAAGAAGAAATGTTTTATTAATGAATGTCGAACAAGGAACAATGGCCGCATTGAATGAATGGAAATTCTTCGTTCTATAAATCTCTTTTCTTTTGCTTTATTTTGTTTTGGGCGGCACAGTCAGTGAAACATAGTACTGCACTTTAAAGGGATTAAACCATGAGTAATACTTGTCAGTGGGTTTAAAACAGTGAGAAAGAATATACATTACCATTTCCCTTAGATTCTAGCAGAATATACAGGGTGGCCCATAATTAGTGCGACAAACTGAAAGGGGTTATAGAGGGCATCAAAACAAGTCATTTGAGTATAGAAACCCATGTCCGGAAATGTGCCGTTTTGGCAGGAGGTGGAGTGAAACGTAAATTTCAAGTTGCATTACGTATTCAAAACATTTACAAAAACTGCTCAAAGTGCCGTCCATTCTGTTGAAGACACAAATAGACACGCCTGGACGGCACTTTGAGCAGTTTTTGTAAATGTTTTGAATAAATAATGCAACTTGAAACTTACGTTTCACTCCACCTCCTGCCAAAACGGCACATTTTCGGACATGGGTTCCTATACTCAAATGACTTGTTTTGATACCCTCTACAACTCCTTTCAGTTTGTCGCACTAATTGTGGGACACCCTGTATAGTATACCTACAGAGTTCCTCTAAAAACAAAGTTTGCTTGTAAGAATTTTCGAAATACTATTTGACATGAGTTGAATTTGATGGTTTACAAATATTTATAATTAAACAGGGTGTCAAACAATAGTGTATTTAATTTCGGCATTCTTTGATAGATAATCTCTTTGATAGAAATTTCTTTCGCAGATAAAAATAAAACAAAAAGTCCCTATGAACATATGCCCTAAAATGCTTCCCGAAGAAGTTACAGCCCTCGAAATGTTAAATGAAAGTAATATATTTTGTTTATTTTTAAGAACATTGGTAAACTGTTTTTCTTGAAAAGTGGTACACACATAATTTTAATGCCAAAATTTCGTAACAGACCTGAAAAGGTACTTTCCATTAGGGTAGAGAGTATTACTGATGGTACTTATTTTATCCTTATAGATACAGTAATTACAAGAAATGATATAAAAAGCTAGAACTTTTTTATGTAAAAAAGGTGCTCTTCGTTTAGTTCGAAAAGGTGAACGGTTTTCAAGATATTTGCGTTTAAAAATTACGAAGCATCGATTTTAGCATTAATGAAATGATAAAAAAATATAGATTTGATTATTTCAACACATTCCCACCGCAGCGCATTCTACGGCAGAAATCAGAAAATATCAATATATAGTTCACGCCGCCAGCCGCACCGCGCCGTCGCGTCATGTCAATCGCATTAAAATAATATTAAAATGGGGGTTTTGTCATAATATTTAAGTATTTTAGTTTTTTGCTAGTGCAGTTATTGAGACTATAAAACACTCACGTACGAGGTTTGTGTAATGTAACGCTGTTTCGGGTAGTAAAACCGGGTAGTTCACCTGTTCGAACTAAACGAAAAGCACCTTTTTGCATAAGAAGTCCTAACTTTAATTTTCATTTATTGAAATTAGGATAAAAGGAGTACCACCAGTAGTAGAGTAGCGCGGGGCAATAAGAGCCACCTAAGGAAAACCTGAAATAAAATGCTACTTATTCCAGTGCTGGCAACCAATTTTCTTTTTCTAGATAGTTCGTGATGTGTAAAATAAAATATAAGTATCGGTTCTCTGTTTTAGATAAACAATACTGGTATGCAAAAAAAATAAAACCTATCATTGGCTCTCATTACCCATAACAGTGGGGAAACCGGAGCCACTTTATTTTACATATTTAAATATGTTAAGAACATTGTCAAACAAAATTTGAATTATTTTAGGTAAAACACACGAGAAAAATACATATGTCTGAAATATTTAAAATAAAAATTCAAGTTATTTCAGTTGATATATTATATATTCCACTCTGGCTCCGATACCCCGCGGTACCCTACTCTCTACCCTAATGGAAAGTACCCTGTCAGTGCTGTTACGGAATTTTACACTATCGCTATTCGCTTTGGCATTAAAATGTGTGTAAGAGTACCAAATTAGAGATAAAACGGTTCTTAAAAATAAACAAAATATATTATTTTTATTTAACCTTTGGAGGGCTGTAATTTCTTCGGGAAGCATTTTAGGGCATATTAGGAACATTCATAGGAACTTTTTGTTTTATTTTTATCTGTAGAATCACCTACCGAAGTAAGATACACTATTTTTTGACACCCTGTATATTATTTAGTCTAAAAATGATAAATGCATATTTACTAATAAATGAATGTTACAACTGTGAAAACCAGACTCGCTAGTTTTCAAAATTCTAAGTTTTTTTTTTGTAAAAGGGGAAATTAAATCAGCCTTGTCTCAAACCCATTAGGTTGCGTATCTTCCCTTTAATTCTTTCAATCAACGATGATACACATTAACCTGTGATACAAACGTGATACAAACTAATAAACTAAATAATAAATGTAAAACCTCTGACGAGGGGTAGGTGACTCAAAAAACTCACAATCTTTTAGGATGTTTATTTCAAAATTTAATTTGATTTAAAATTGGGGCGACATGTTTCGGGATTCATTTAATTCCCATCCTCAGGCCCAGAAAGACAAAAGTCACACCAGGAAGCCATACGACTCGGAAAAAATAAAACAATTGGATTGTTAAAATTCACTAAACAATTGTACTCATTGTAATTGCAAACCAATCCAATTTCTCAAAAGAAAAACCCTTCGTTGTTGTTCTAATCAATAAAGGCTTATACCATAATTCTTAAACACAGTCTTATATTATTTTATTTAATATTTTTCATTTTTCGACAAGGATCGACGTCTAAGTCTGGTGCTGTGATAATGTTAATGTCACATTAACATTATCATGGTATGGCTTCCTGGTGTGACTTTTGTCTTTCTGTGCCTGAGGATGGGAATTAAATGAATCCCGAAACATGTCGCCCCAATTTTAAATCAAAATAAATTTTGAAATAAACATCCTAAAAGATCGTGAGTTTTTTGAGTCCCCTATCCCTCGTCAGAGGTTTTACATCGATATGTACTCACACTGGGTTGGAGAACGTTTAGTAAATAATAAATACTACTAACGGACTAGTGATACATAAAAATCGAAATGTGTAAAATTTCAACATTAAGGGATAATATCAGTCAAAGAAATTATTTGATTTCATAGTTCACCATTTTGTACCACTTCCAAAAATACATACATATACTCGATAATTTATTTTTAATGTTGCTTCTCAACAGACGAAAGAAATATCTATATTTTATTAATATAAAAAGTAACTTACTTAAGTGCTTGTGGTCGTGAATCGACACTAAATAGATTAGTGTCCATCGGGTGCTTGGCGGCATAGTGTTCCTTGGTCTGAGCAAAGGAACAGATGTCGCTAACAGCTGAAACAAAAAATATAAATAAATATACAAAAATAGATTAGTGTCATTATATAAATTCCCTCATTATATAAATAATAAATAAATAAATAAATAACGCTTTATAGACTTTTAACCCGTGTGTGAAATAATAAAAATTTTAAAATTCAAAATTGCGCATGATTAAACGTCAACAAAAAAGTCGTTTACCGCATATAGGGCTCTCTCCAGTAAGTATGATTTCAGAACTTTGCGAAATGCGGGAAAGAATGAAAGCGACTTGATATTCAAAGGCAGATGATTGTACATTTTTTTGGCACTGTACAGTATTGAGCCTTTAACTAGTTCTGAGCTCGGGGTTGGCAGATAAAGATCGTGCTCCGCATTCCTAAGTGGATAGTTGTGAGATGGCCTTTCGGGAATAGCAGATATGTGCTTGAGGATTAAGTAAACGGATTCAAAAATTAATAAAGAAGGAAGAGTCAGTATTTTGAAATTTTTAAAGAAATTCTGGCAGTGAGTTCTACTGTTCAGTCCCAATAAATATCGAACTGCTCTCTTTTGAAGTTTGTAAATACGATCAAATTTTGTTGCGCAGCGAGTACCCCAGAACAGAAGAGCATAACAAAGATGTGATTCAAAAAGGGCATAATAAGCTATTCTAGACGTTGATAAGTTAAATTTCTTAGAAACTGATCTTAGCGCAAAACAGGCAGCGCGTAGTTTCTTTGATAAAGCTTCGATGTGCAAGTCCCACTTTAACGAGTTGTCTACAACAAGTCCTAAGAATTTCACAGAGTCCACGACGTCAATAGTGGTGTTATTAAGTACAAAATATGGTACAGTACTTTCATTTGATAAAACTTTAGTTTTTGATAGGTTGAGGCATAGGAGATTAGAATCGCACCAAGATTTAATGGTAAGTAAGTCACTAGATATAGTAATATATATTGCCGTAAAATATAAGTTAAAAAACGGTAACACAAATAATACAAAAGATATACTTAATCTAAAATCAAACTAATAAATCTCTTTTAGTAATCATTTTAACTTAAAATGCTTCATCCAAAAAACGTTTCTCATGCACCTCGTACAGAAAAGTGACTTTTAATTTGCATAATTAATATCAAGGATAAGAAACAAGCTGCTTAGCATTCCATTTAAGTGGCATTCCAACGCAGATATCCTTATTTTTAGTTTATTTTATTTGTCGGACATATCTGATTGCGTCTTCTTTAATCTTCTTTTTCCCTTCTTCTTACTTTCGCGCACGAAACGATGTTTCTTTTCGTTCCTCCTCTTTGTCGTTTTGTTGCATATCACCTGTTTCAAGGCGCCACCATCTTAAGAAAGATCTTTGTAAAGCCCTGCACCGGTCATCTGTCAGCTCGAAAATGACAGAAAATTACTTTGTTAAGGTGATATTTTAACGAAGAAACGAGTGTGTTTGGGCAATTTAGTAATTTTTCCAGTGTTTTGGTATAACGGCGAAATTTGACCAATTTTCATCATTTACTGTATTTATATTAATTGAGAGGTGATTAGCAGGGTTGGAAAAAATCATGTTTTTAAAAAAAAAATCAGATTTATTTGATTTAAATCAGATTTTTTTGATTTAAATCAGATTTTTTTTATTTTAATTCAAAACAATATTTAAATCGAATTTCCAAATGACTACAACTTATTTCCAATTAAAGTCCTATCCTAAATAGCTAAATCTTTATAACTCTGCCCGATATCAATAACATTAACAATTCTACGGTGCGTTTATCATTTTTCCATATCGGTCCCCAATATATTTCGCGAAAAAGTCGCTCGCTTCAGATCAAAAGGATTTGTTTTCAAACGTCTCAAAAGTATTAATTTTTGCCATATTAACGCCTAGGCTTTGCCTAGGCATAAAAGTAAAGCACTGTTACGCCTAAGCACAAAAGTACAAAAATATATTATTAAACTGATATTAAGTGTCAAATTCAACTAGTGTACAAATTGTTGCTCGATTACTGTTTATATTATTTGCAATGTTTGAAATTGATTAAAAAATTATTTGTAATGTTTTAAAAAAAATAGTAAAATAGTGTTCTATTCGGAGTAAAAATGTGTAATTCTTACTCCTGATAAGAACAATACACTATTGTTCGGAAATAGTCTTATGTCGAGAATGAAATTAGTATTATCTAATGTCAAAGTGTAAAATACTTACTGCAGATCAAAATGTCGGTAAGAATTTGGAAAAATACTACCGTTTCAAAAAAAAATATAAAAGATCATATTTCCTGACAACGATTATATATTCTCGGGAATGAAGATATAGTCTCTATATCAGAAGAACCTAGTTCTGCACTAGAATGCGAATGATATGTATTCGAACAGCGAATTTTTGTCACTTATACATAAATTTTAAAATAAATCCCTGCGTCTGATGGATTACACGAAATTACTTTAAAAATCGGTCCAACATTTAAATTGATGAATATATATTTTTATACCTATAGTTTTATAATATTTACAATTACTTTTCGATTTATTTTCTGACGACCACGACCGACGATCTTTTATAGAAATGGTTTTTAGAGTTTTCTAGGACACATTTTTATAACTTTTACAGTTATTTTTTGATTTGTAATAAAGTTTCAATAAAATTATTTTTTTTATTTAAATCACATGATTAAAATTTAAAAAATCACTTGATTTAAATCATTAAATCATGCCAACCCTGGTGATTAGTGATTAGTTGTGAAAAAGATTAAATGGACTAACCAATGGAAATGGAAACACTAAATCACCACAATACACCAAAACACTTTTACTTTTACACTGGACGCGCGTTTCGCTAACCATGTTAGCATCATCAGCAGATGATTATAAACTGGTTTCAGTTCAGTCAAACCAGTTTATAATCATCTGCTGATGATGCTAACATGGTTAGCGAAACGCGCGTCCAGTGTAAAAGTAAAAGTGTTTTGGTGTATTGTGGTGATTTAGTGTTTTTATTTTGCTGTTTAACACCAAAGGTTCCAACCCTCAACTGTAATGGAAATGGGTAATCAAGAAGAGACAACAATCAGAAAGAGAAGTATTTTTCACATTTCACATATTTGTATTTATCTATTTTGCATATCACAAAAAAAGAAAAAAATGCGCATCGCTGAGATATGGTGCAGGACTGTCGGGTTCAGATAAAACCGCGGTAGTGCCGTTCACTAGAAAGCGAAGTTTGAAAAACTTGAAAAGAATCCATCTAGATGGAAAGGAAATATTTCCATCACAGGAAGTGAAATATCTGGGAATAACTCTGGACAGTAAACTTTTCTGGAACAAGCATATTAAGAACATTACCAACAAAGCCACAAAGGCTCTCATGATATGCAGAAGACTGGTGGGAAATATGTGGGGCTGCGCCCCTAACATTTTGCTCTGGATGTGTATCATGGTAGGACCCATGATTACCTATGGAGCAGTTGCTTGGTACACAAAACTAGAGCGACGTACAGCAAGGCAAAACCTCTGCAAAGTACAGAGACTGGCATGTATCTGCATCACAGGTGCCATGAGAACAAGTCCAACAGCAGTAATGGAGGTCATTCTAGACCTAACACCACTGCAGATTGTCGTCAGTAGTTATGCCAATGCGACAATGATTAGAATGGTCATTGACGGAAACAGTATTAGGAGAATTTTCAGGTCAGGGGCTTGGAACACCCTCAAAAAGAAAATTCCACTTCTCTAACTCCCAGTAGATGACATACCAAGAATTTACAACTTTGAGAAACACCTCACTGTAGTATTGAGTAATAAAAAGTATTGGAAGGAAGAAACGTTTGCTCAGCATGTAAAAGCCCATATCTAAATAGTACCATTCCAAAGAAGAGAGCCATTTCTTAAAAATATAGGGAGTTCTACAGGGTGTGCCCAGAAAAAGTTACACATTAAAGTTGTGTTTTTTGTAATAGAACACCTATATATTAATTGATATTCGGATTGTAGGAGAAAAATACAGGTGGGTTTCATTAGAGAAGTATATGACTAAAATGCAAGATTTTTGACATATTTGTGCCCAGAAAAAGTTACACATTAAAGTTGTGTTTTTTGTAATAGAACACCTATATATTAATTGATATTCGGATTGTAGGAGAAAAATACAGGTGGGTTTCATTAGAGAAGTATATGACTAAAATGCAAGATTTTTGACATATTTAGCATTTTCAAAAAATAAAGAAATAATTTCAATAAAAACTATTATGCCTAATATGTAGTTAAAATAACGATTGTACTTTGAAAGTTAATATTGAACATTGGTCACCTTTAAAAGCAAGTTACTCGTGCATTTTAATTGGAAGACCCAGTATATTATACCGATATTCAATTGGAAATTCATGTCTCTTCAATACACTACTAATGTTGCTTACCCAACCAACAAAGATTTTTCTAGATACCTATTATCATTTTTATGATTAAGTGTCAGTAGATTTTTATTGTTTGATAAAATCTAGGTGGCGGGGTGATATGTCTGACGTTACTTCAACATAGCTGTTATATTAGTTCAACTTTAACAACTAGTTATCATTTTGTGTCAGTTAAAACAAAAAAAAATTCTCAGAAATTTGCAGAAAATGGAAATTTATCCTCCATCAGAGAGAATTGATTTGATTCTATTAGTGGGTGCATCCAGTGTGCATTCACCAATTAATAAAATATTTAAATGCTCCAGATTTATCTAGTCTCGACTTTTTTTTTATCTGGGTGTGTTAAAGACAGTGTTTATAAAACTTGACCAACATCAGAAAAATTATTGTGGCTGATTTTCGAAATAGAACTCCACATAAGATGCCTTTAAACACGAAAAGATATTTTGAAAAGAGAATGATTTTATGCAGTGAACAGGAAAGGAAGCATTTTGAGCATTTGATTTCATCTAGCTAAATTTTGTCACATATTTATACGTTTATATCTGGTTTTAATTCTGTAATAATTAAAAAATGTTTTAAACGTGTATTTTTTATTACCGATAAATATTTTACTCT